CTTATGTGACCAATTTTATTAAATCGCCGTCCACGGAAAAGGTCAATTCCTTCCCCTGTTAAAACATTTCAATGTAAATTCCGTGCGGATCATTTTTACTCATAGTTTATTCATCATCAGGATGGTAAGGTTACGGTAGGAAAAGACGACAAGATCGAAGTGATTGTTTGAAGCGAGGCTGGTAGGAATCTGGTCTCAGAATTATCACAGTACGTCGGGATTTGGATTATTCTAATCCCAAAAAAAAAAAATGCAGCATGGCTGTTTCGTTGTTTCCAATTAATCTTTGATCTCTGGACTAGAATCTGGCTTCCAAATTATCCAGCACAAATCTTAATATGTATTTTAATTTCAAAATCTGAATGATGCTAATTTTATTGGAAGTTTCAATGTCCAACAGAGAGACAGACACTATAGGCTCGAGAATAGGATTCCGTAAAATTCATCGAAAATTTTACTAATACAAAAAAACGGAAAAGCCAAAATAAGATATAAGATTGACGTTTCTTCTAATTGTAAGAACGTTAACAAAATTATTGGGTTTAGAAACTGCCTTTGTTACCTTAGTTTCGTCGTGGTCGATTGGGTTTTCCCGATCAAAGCAACCGGCAAAACTTTTATTAAGGCTTGAGGTACCTAATCAACTGTAAATATGTAATTGCCCATTGTAAATGGCAGAGAGTGAAGAAATTCCGGACAGACTTGCACTTTTTTAAGATACAAACACATGCATGAATACGGACTTCCAACTTGCTTATTGGTCTATAGAAGAAGTCATTTTCTACAATCACTTAGGATGCGAAGCTGATCATCGACCAGTTTCTAGTAACTAAAACTTTTGCTACCTAATTGTCAAAAAACAATGTTTGAAATACAATGTAAACTTTTTGTAACGAATTTTTTAACGAAATTAGGCTTGATGCTTGAAGAAAGAGAGAAAGATTGTAATGTAGAACAACTCATTCTTCAATATTAAAGGTCTCTGTAATTGTACTTATGCGTTTTTCTTGCAGAAATCAAAACAAATTTTTAGAAAAAAGTAACTCCCCGTCAACCCTAAAATTAATTTTTGGTTAATTGGCTCGTGTGAAAGACACAAGTGCGGTGTTTAATTATTGTAAACTATGGTTAATAATGTCAATTTAATTCAAATTACCTAGGAACGTACACGAACATAATTGGTTCGTCCTGTTCAATTTAACTACAAACATTGAACTGCATATGTACATACGTACGTATATTTACAAACTTTCATAGTGCGCTTGCTAGTTGGTGATCCCTAACGGAAATCTCTATAAAACTATTAATTTTGTCGTTTTTGTCCATGCCTCTGGTAGTTTAATTTGTTACGTGGTGAAACCTAGTTTAGTGTTAATAATACGTGCGAGAGACCGACTAAAATCGCAATTCATTTTAATCTAGGTAATTAATTAAATAATTAATTAGAAAGTATTCAATCAAAAACTGAACGTAAATAATATTAAATAAACCCAAACTTTTGTTATATTTTTCAAGGATAAAAAGGAGTTTTGAAATCGAAAGGAAGAAGTATTATTTGCATTTTCTTCGAATTCATACAATCCTTGTGTTTCCTCCAAAAATTTGACTGTTTAAAGGGAAATGGTGAGGTTTCACTATGTATCTGTGAATAATAATTTGGTCAAAATTCATCGGAATAAAAACAAACCAGAAATTTTTACGGTTACTCCGAACCAAATGCTTTGAAAGCAGTCGAATTTGACGTGTAGTATTTTGTGTTATAAAAGATTTCAAGTCTAGAGAAAAGAAGTTCATCTTTTTTTATGTTTAGGTACGTTATCAAGCTCGAGGTATAGATCTTCTTTAGCATATCTAGGGTTGCCACCTTTTCAGGCTTTACATAAAGTATTTCTCGACTAAAAGGTTCAAAAAAAAGTACTCAACATAAAAATAAAGTATTTTACTTTTTGGTTTTTAAAAACATATTTTTTGTTACACCTAGCAGCCAGTAACAAATTGCTGTCGCTCTTAAACACATTAATAGTCTCTAAACAGCGAAAACAAAGATTTAAGTCAACTAAAAGTTCATTGTTAATTGGTTTTAATGAAACAAAATTACGATGTTTACTTAAGGCCTTAATTAAAGTATTTTTGCGTACTTTATGTGTCTTGTAAAATATAACATATGCACAGTCGAAATAGAGTACAATACTTAATAATAAAGTACGGGTGGCAACCCTAAGCATATCTAACATAAAACTAAGTTTGTTAAATTCAATTCCAAAACAGTTGCTGAACAAACGTCTTGCATTTTTTTATATTCAATACTACGCTAATTGCCTACCAAACATGATATTTATTGTTTAATATTCTGTGGTCATATGTAAATTGCTGCACACAAAATTTCTGTACACGTTCGTCTTCCTGTATGCAAGATTGCAAATTTGACTACACAAAAATTTCCTGTAAATGCGTTGCCGTTTGAGTTATTTTCGGTGCAAACGAATTATTTTAATAATTTTGCATTCTGCCGGCAAAAAATTGACATCATCGGCCCACAAGCTTAAAGTAATAAATATGCACGCAGAATGGTAGTGAACACATTATTAATGTGCCAATTTACAATTCTAATTTAGTTATGAAGAACATTGTACATACAACAACCAATTTGTAATGTAATAAATCATGAGTTCTTAAAAACTGAGTTATTATAAAAGTAAATTAATAATAAAAACAGCCATGAGATTATTAATGTAATCAAAACTTGGCGATATCAAAACTGTCAGAAGTACCTACACTTTATTGAATGCAAGTAACTTGTAAGAAACAATATCATATAGAAATTATTATTTACCCACGGCTATCGACTATTATGACACGTGCTCATAAATAACAACAGTAATTGTAAGATCATTTTATTTTTTACCGTTTATATCGACAGGAAAGTTGATTCGTACCTATAAAAGAACCACCCCTACGTCAAAAAGTTTGGAAAAAGGATGTATCAGTTAAATTAGTATCTCTAAGGAAGAGAAGCAAAAAGTTCCCTGTCGTTAATATTTTTCAGTGTTTTTGCTTAAACTACAAGTTTCTTTTACAGTTGAAAGGTAATGATATTATACAGGAGGTCCCAAGAAGGGCTGTAAAAGTACCAAATAAATATTGCCTGAGCCAGATCCAAAATAGAGTTGTAAAGTATTTTATTGACATAAAGCCAAAACCTACGCTTCGCCTCTAGTTAGAACGTTTTTTAAAGGTAGATTTCTAAAGTCTTAACAACTTTATCTTGAAAACGCCTCCTTATTGGAGGCGAGATGTCGGGGTAGATTTTGTATTAGTAAAATGATTTACAGATTTATCCTTTCTTTTGGCCATATTCAAATTTGTGAATGTAAATGTCTGACATATCAATAAGTAAGCTAAAAATTTTGAAAAAAAGTTTATCATCTATCATTTACGTCGCTTTGGATGAAATGTAATCAAACAGGTTGTAAAAACGAAAAGAACCTCGAAAATCGGAATCCTTCAATTGAAACATTATTTACGTATGTACATATTGTGCTAAGCCAATCCCATAAATAAGTTTTTCAAAATGTTGGAACTACAGCTAAATTTTTAGTGTAAATATTGGTTACACTACCTAGTTTGTTATTTACTGTAGTTTGTTGCTTCTGCTAGGTATAAAGTTCACCATTCGTTCAACGTTCAGCAAAAGGTGTTAAATCTATCAAAATTAATCAAAAATAGACCGAAGTGTATGGAAAGATATGCATAGATGTCAAAAATTTTGGAGACTTCGAAATGTTGAAATATCGGATGATGCGTCAAAAACCACTCGTTGAATCTCCCACGAAACATTGTTTGACTCTAAGCTAGTAAAATAAACATCTTTTTGGATCCAAAGCATTTGGCATTCATGCATGACTCTCCATAAACTGGTTTACTACTAATAGAGCTTTTAGTGTTCAAAAAAACCGAATAGCTTTGCAAAGTTAGCACCTGGGGAACTTATTACTAACAGCAACTAATCCAAGATGAAGCTTCCTGACAGTGGCTTTTTTAAGAGTGAGGCAAACAACAAAAAATTTTCACGCGGTTTTATCTCTTTTGAAAAATGGGCCGAGTACCCAACTTGGATCCGGTTCGCGGCAGATCCGTCACCTTTTTTAGGATCCGATCGGGTCAATTGGTAACTAAGATTGTTTTGGGATAAGTTGTTTGTCGTAATTTGTATAAATTATTGATTACTGTCTTAAACTGTTACAATTTCTGTCGCTTGTTGGTACATCAATTTTTTATTAATGATAACAAACCAGAAGTGCATAAAAAATACAAGACAATCGGAGAATGTCAGTTTTCAGAACAAATGCAATCCATTTATAAAGTCCTTCAACTTCTAGCCTCCAAACTGTATCATTTCTTGAAGCATCCTGCTAATCCTGAGAACATTTTTAGTTACATTGTGGGAATGTTTGCTTTAATTTGTTACACGAAACAGCAAATCAGTGTTATCAGTAGAAATTGCAGTCAGTAGATGTTTAAGTGCATTTGTTTAGTTATTTTAGAACTGGAAAAACATTTGCATTGCTGCTTATTAGGCGTGTTTACGTTGCTGAAAGGCTACTGTTTGTCTTTTATATAATATAACCGTTGTCATTTTTATTTTGCACCGATGATAATATAATCAAATGGAACACAGCCATTAATATATGTATGTACATACAAATATCTTGTATATTTACATGTTTTCTTTATTGTGTGTACTAATATACTTATACAAAAATATACAACTGCAGGTAGCCTGAAAAAACCTAATCACTAGCAATGATGATAGTTGTACACTTTGCGGCGAATGATAACAACAGTTGTTTTTCGAAGGTTATAATTACAAGTAGACATGCACCGACTTCACTTACATGCTTAAGTATATGTACAGATACGTACACAATGAGCCTTTGATAAAATTACTTATCTTGCTAATCGTCATCTTATTGTAAAACATTTCGAACGAAACTCACGTTGCAAGTTGCCGAGTGTTAGTAGGTACCTGGCGTTCGCGCTACAGAAAAGGTGCTTGGTTATCTTTTATACGTGAAAATTTGATAGTAACGATGTACTTGTTACACATTTGTAAATAGTTCGACATATTCTATAGTGATTTACGAATAAAACGCCTTAAAACTTGATAAAACTATTAACGGAAGAATCGGATTGTTATTCTGTGACGTCTTCTAGCACGTATCTGATATACTAGGTCTTCTAATTTGTTTATAACGGAAGAGGAACTAAATATAATGTACCTGAAGTTTCTTTTAGATGAACAGCCAAAAAAAGGGAAAGGTGTTACCGGAAGGTAATTTAATTTTGATATTTTATTTAAATTTCTAAATTTTAGATCTTAAAATGTTAGCTAATAGCTGCCTTTAAAAACATATACGTACTAATTTTCTTTAAAATATTAGTCCAGATTTTGAAATAGGATAAAGGCAGTTTTAATCTACCAAAAACATTTTGCATATTCAACATTTTCTAGTTGATTTCATGAAAGACAATTGGGTTTTCAAGATAATATCAGAGAAAAGGTTTACAATTTAGTAATCAAGCCATTTGTTCGCCCATGATCGAAATCCAAAGTAATCATTAGCAAAAGAATAATCATGGAATCCGAAATTATTAATCGGTTATAGCATTTAAATTCTTTACTCAAATATAAATAAACAAAATTTTCTTCTTCATACTATTAGTGAGATTAACTACTGAAAGTTGCTTTTAAGGTGGTGATAAACCCAAGCAATTTTCTTATTTAACGTTTACTTCAAGTCCATTACGTTTTTACCATTTTCTGAATCAACTGATTACGTTTAGTTTCTACTGTATTTATTTTCACTCAGTGGTCGTGGGCTGTAAATTAGTGACGATGTTTTACAACCTTTTAGAGTAACTTAAGTAATTACTTCAAAGTTATGATCCATCGTATTTCATAAAATTGGCGGCGTATTTTCTATTGTTTCTTATTTCTTGTTGTCTCAACTTAATGCTTGCTAATTCCAATGCATTATCCTATTGCTATTTCTATTCGTACGTTTTAAAAGACCATTAATAGTACCTACGATTTTAAGAGATAGTGTTTGATAATTTTAGATTGACTTACAATTATTTATACACTCATTGTATTATTTAAAAGCAAATTAAATTTCATTGGAGATAATATAACGGAAACGGATAACAATAATAGACAGTATTATACATTCCGATGCCGACAAAATTTTTGAGTTAGTTTATATGAAATTTAAAGCTATACATTCCGTTTCCATTTCATATCCTGTGAAAATATTCACACATGAAGTTACATTTCCTTTCCGTGTCAGTCGCCTACAGAAACAGTTTATATGAAATTGATTGCAAGTATACGTGGTTTGAGGTGAATTCAATGATTGCCGCTATTATTTTGAATGAGAAAAACCATTTGCTAAAAAAAAGGAGAAACCTTTAGACTCAATACAGGAAAAGGAAGAAATATTGATGAATGGATTTATTGATTTACTACACGTTATAAGGCAATGTGTATGATCTTGTGATTAGTAGCTAATTTTAACGAGCTCTCTATTAAATACCACCTTCACCAACGTCCTAAATTAATCATTAGGTCCCGTTCAAAAAATCGTTCAAAAAATTAACCAATCTGTAGCTTTTTGCCAACGGACTTTAGGGTGCATTGCAACAACTCTTAGATTGGATTTAGACCGGATTCTATAGATTTGATACTAAAAATTCATACTAGCCCTGGCTTTTTCGATATGTAGGTACATCATCCACATTACGTCAAAAATACATTTCGTTTGAATGTGAACAGAAAGGATAATGTTTACAGGCGCGCATCTGGCTACAATAATTTACGGAACGTGTACGGTAAGGATATGGAATGGAATCGGAATGTATAATGAGAATCGACCTTTAACCTTATTAAGCCTTTTAAATCTCTTCCAAAAAGGATATTTGATAGACAGATACAGCTTTCCGATTTTATAACTGGCCTATAATAATATCAATTTCATCGTCAGTTAAGTAATCATCCTACTGGAATTAACTCCATTAAGGTTTCATTTATTTTGGAGTAAACCGCTGATTGTAAATTTTATTTAAAAGGATAAAGGATATGTTACTTTATTAGTAAAAGTTATGAACACTTTTTTGACGTTTGAGACATTTGTTATACCTGTGAAGAAGCTTTTCAATATTGTTTTCATAAAATCATGTCGTCAATGAATTTAAAGAAGTCTTAGCGTTGTCTTGAAGCTTCTCGTTAGTTTAAAAACGGGAAAAACATGAAGATGATAGAGGTCACTTGGCGCTAAACTTGAGAGTAATTCTAATCAAAAAAGAGGTGTGCTAACGTGTCGAGCAGTGCTGATGGTGCCCAATGTCTCTTTGAGCAATTTTAATGGGATATTTTGAACTATCCACCACACAGTCTCAGCCTAGTGGCTTTCACCTTGTTCTTGAATTAAAGAAATGACAAGACTGCTTTAAATTATTTAGTGGGAACATTTTATAACGAAGAGGGGTATTGGAAAGCTGGTCGTTAAGGTGATTTTGTCGAAAAGTAACCATAAGTGTACATAAACGGTAGTAATGTAACATTCTGATTATTATTTGTATGGGCTATCGGAGGTTGAGATTGAAATTAAGTAGAATTATGAAGTGAGAGAGAAAGATAACATTGCTACCAAAAAATATTTCGGATTTATAGTTTCATGTTTTAGCGCCAGGGGTTGAGCTGTTTAGCATGTTCTAAACTCATTGAATATGACATTAAAAATTTTTAGTCGTAAACTTCACAACATTCTCTGTTAACAAAGTAATTTATGGTTTTATATGCATGATGCCCACTGTAAATATTTTCTAAATTAAATTTTTAACATACAAAGCAGCTAAATTATTAAAATATGCAAATAAACAGTTGTTCCCAGAAACAGGCTGATAAAAGGAATAAATATAAAATGGTATTACAGATGTCACATATAGTGAAGAGGTTTTTACTTATCTCTGTAATCTAATAAATATGATTGCAATTGGTTATGTTAGCGCCTAATGCTAGTGGCGCTATGCGGCTCTCGGCATTTGTCAGAAAATTATTTATCTGATATTTTTTTCCGTAAATGATCTCATCAATGAAAATTGTATAACAAATAATAGAATAATTACTGTCAAAGGCTGACTGTTTGTGTTAACAGAATACAATTTCGATCTACGTAATATTTTATAATACGTTAAGTCTGAAATTTTGATAGTAAAATTCCCGTTTATTTATTGATGATAATGAAAAGAATGCATTGCTACTGTGTGAAATACTGATGGATACTGATATTACTGATTAATAACTTTAGCAGTGGAGTGCTTGAATGCACTACTTGCGTATTTAGATAAAGGAAAAAGGATAGGTATGTACTCAAAGTAAGTGAATTGTGATCAATACAAGTAAATTTGGACGGATAGGCATCGTTATCAATGGGGCATATAGCAATTTACATATGCCAGCCAAGAAGAAACCTTCCCCAAAATAACTTTTTACATTTTTAATCAACACTTATATCAATTTATGTATGTAGGTAGTTCCATTTCTAAATTGTTTCAATAGTCAGCTAACTTCAGAACGCTTTACTACTAGAGAAGATAGATGCACAAATTTTTTCTACACACGGTTTCTCACAAAAGGGAAAAGTCACACTTGCTTCGTTTTTAATACTTATTTTAGGCAGCTTTAACTACCCGAAATAATTCTAAAAGAAAATTAGCTATACAAAATAATAACCTATTCGTATGTCGATTTCATGAGCTTGCAATAACAAAAGCTCAGGAATTTATTCAGTGCTTTTAGATATGTAGAATGTAACAGACGTGGTAGAGTCAGACCAGCAGTCAGGACAATCTGCTTGCAACAAGCAAGTGACCCGTGAAATGAACGTTAGCCATTACGTTGACCGCAGAGATCAAGTGACCTATGGCTGTATGGATTTCACGCATGAATGTCTGGGTTGTAGATTCGACGAGAAAGAATAGTAGATTTTATGGCAGAGGTATAATTTCTATACAAGGGTTTCTTTTATATTAAAACTTCGACTCTCAGTAAAATCACATCATTCATAGGTACATCAAAGAATATTATTATCAGCTATAAACAAATTTAATGACTTTTGTTTTGTTAGCGTCTGTTTAGCCCGAGAAGAATTCCAACTTTCTTTAGTAATTTTTTAATGCTTGAGTAAATATGAATTAATTTATCTATAATTTTCATATTTTAAAAAAAAATGATATAGTGACTTGATGGGCTTTAATTTTATTTTAATTATGTTAACAATACATCGATGTTAGGATACCATTTCAGAAATGCAGGGTTAGTTAAAGAGAAAACAGAAATAGAAACAAAGGTAGACCTAGATGCTGAAGATGACCAGCTCGCAACTAGAATTTTAAAGAGGTGTAGATAGGGTCCCTATTAGGCTAGCTCCATTGCCTCGTGTTGACCTCGTGACGCCACCCCATAAACCCCCAAAGGGTATATAATGTTTCAAGTATCATTATGAATGCCGCATGTGTTCCTTTTGAGGAAAAATGATTAGTCTCCTATTTAAAAAAAATCGAATCTCCATAGGGCGCATGGTGGGAATGTCCATTCTTTGTGACGTTATACATGTGTTAGGCTTGCTTCATAAGACCCTTTTGAAAAACTCATAAAGCATTCATCATTTCAATATCGTCGATTTTTTTGCTAGGTCTACATGTAGAAACTAGGGGAAATCCCTCTATCGGTGTGTTCCTCATTAGACCCACAACGTTTGAGTAGGTATGAATTTATTGATAATTTTTTTATTTAAAAAAAATTGATATGATTTTTAATTTTATTTTTATTATGTTAAATGAGGATAGAGTTAGAAATGAAGAGGTATTAGAAAGAATAGGGGAACAGAGGACTCTATGGAAGTCAATAAGAAATAGGCGAGAATGTCTAGTCAGAGACATATTAGAGGCAGGAACAGTAGTTAAGAGGAGTAGAGGTAGACCTAGATTAGATTACTGTTCGCAAACAGTTAAGGATATGTGTTGTTCTATTTTTAGGGAAATGTGAAGATTAGCTCAGGATAGGAAAGAGTGGAAGTGCTTATTTAACCAGTTTTAAGACTGACGACCTTATGATGATGATGATGATGATGTTAAATGTGAAAATGAAGTCAATAATACATTGATGTTAGGATACCATTTCAGAAATGAAGGACTAGTTGAAGATAAAACAAAATGAGCAAAAGGAAAAATGCGGAAAAATGATTAGTTACCGATTTAAAAAAAAATCGGATCTCCATAGGGCACATGGTCGGAATGTCCATTCTTTGTGGCATTATATGTATTGCAATGTCGTAGATTTTATTGGTAGGTCCACATGAAGAAACTAGGGGGAAATCCCTCTATCGGTGTGTTCCTCATTTGCCTCATGAGGCCCACAACATGCCTGAGACTATTCCCTCCATAAATTTTAGTCGGGCTGTACAGCATGGCGTCAAAAGAATCTGCCTATACTTTAATAAGGAAAAACTCTGTTATTCTTTTTCTTTACGTACATAATATGTGCATTTTTAAGTTATTATTTTCCCCGTAGAGAAGTAACGTAAAAGGGTGATAAAATGTTATTGTGATTGTGTTATTTTCAGATGTGAAGAGGTGGTAGTGGCCATGGAGGAGGAGGAGGAGCGCGGCCCTGAAGAAGGCTTCCTGCTCGTGCGCATCCATGTGCCAGAGCTCAATGTACAAAAGTGCCTGCAATTCCCTCGGGACCAACTCGTTTGGGACGTAAAGCAGCAATGTCTAGCCGCGCTACCGAAGGTATGATTTCTACTTTTATAACACTTGGGGATGTAAATTGAGTAGATGGTAGCTGGTGGCGGTTGTAAAGAAAATTATTTCCAGCATATTTTAGAGGATGAAAAGGGATTGGGTTTGGATGGCTTTAGTGTCCGGTCGATCTCAAAATTTTTACCTTCGAATGTGAGACAATAGTAATTACTTACTAATTCATAAAATAATCGCAAAACTACAAAATATTTATCTAATTTTTAAAAGTAGAAATTAGTGAATCCTTGAAGAATTTGTCGTTGTAGAGTCCGCGCCCCGATATCTAAAGATTATGACATCCTGGATAATTCTGGGCTCAGATCCGATTCAAATTACGTCATAAGTGACTGTGCCCTTTTGTCTTTCCATTTTCAGTACTTAATTTTATTGATTTGTGCAATCAGAGGTCATAGTTCTCCTAGTAATTATTTTGCGATCCTTTCGTCGCGTCGGTGTGTTATTAAAGGAAAGAACTATCCTTCAAATGGAATTAATTGATTTGTTTTATCTAGCGATTCAATGGAGCCACTTTGTAATACCTTCACGTACTAAATGCTTCTAGGCAATTACATCATGTACACACGTAACCATCGTGTGTGAAAACTACATGTGTGTCAATTATTGTCGTTGTCTTACACATTATTAAAACGACAGTGAATATTGCTTTATGTTTCGATAATTGAATTTTGATTAAACTAACAAGAAAGAAAGTCCAGACCATGCATTGCAAGAATTAGCAATCATTTTTGCATTAATATTCTTTCAGTGACCGTTTCTCAATACAGAATAATTTTTCCACCTGAAGAAACTAAAATAAAAGATTTTCTAACTGAAAATTAAGCATGTTTATTTTTGGGTTGTTTACTACTATAATAATTTTTTAAGTTAAACAAAATAAGTTTTTTTACTTTAAGAAAGTGTGTCACTTCAATAATTTATAAACGTGTATTTTGTTTGTTCTTATTGAAAAAAATATTTGAAACACATGTTACATTGGATCCTAACTCAAGAGCTTAAAGCTAACAACGGGTCAAAGTCTTATTCGCGTTTACTTTTGGATAAGATTGATCGTTTTACCGACATTATTTACAGTAAATATCTGATAAAAATCCAGCGATATCGTAGAAACAGCCAGTAAACATAAACTAACAAAAATTTAGAACAAATTTTCGTAATAGATTATTTTGTAGATACTTCATATGTATAGAACAAACTAAAAGTGACTTACTAAAGGGTAACCCAGTACACAGTCAGATTGTTTTTACGGGAATGGTTTCAACACTCCCTGGTTTATATACGTTTACCATACCACTCACAATATGTATATTTTTTTCATTAAAATTGTCAAACAAAAATCGAAATAGTGACGCTAGAAACAACTGAAAAATTGTTTAACACTAAATGAAGAAAGTATTCGTGAAATGACATACAANGTATAGAACAAACTAAAAGTGACTTACTAAAGGGTAACCCAGTACACAGTCAGATTGTTTTTACGGGAATGGTTTCAACACTCCCTGGTTTATATACGTTTACCATACCACTCACAATATGTATATTTTTTTCATTAAAATTGTCAAACAAAAATCGAAATAGTGACGCTAGAAACAACTGAAAAATTGTTTAACACTAAATGAAGAAAGTATTCGTGAAATGACATACAAGGAATGAAACTTTATGAATTTGAACTGTATGCGTATCACTGGGACGTAATAATTCCTAAATGTCCATGATGCAACTACGTCTAGGTTAGGGGATGTAGGACACTACAGTTTAGTTTAAACAAAAGTTTTCTCGAACCATAGTACTTTCACTTCTTTAGTTAATGTGGCTGAATTTTATCTAATTGTAATAATTAGTCGAAATTCTGAAAAAAATTTGAGTTATCGAATAATTTAATTTTTTTGGAATATTTCGTATTCAAAAAGAAAGACTAGTTTTCAATGGAAAAAATTCATGGAAATTTGTGTTTGATTGATTTTGAACTGTTTTCACACACCCCCCATTAAAAATATGCATACCTATGTGTAGTTTAGCTGCTCTTGAAGCTACTATAGTAATCGTAAACCAAAAAAAAAAAAAATTGAACAAGTTCCATCACAGTCACAGTGTCGCAGTGGTAAGTAAACTTACTCGTATTTAACATTCCATGCATTCTTATTGGAAGATAAGTTCTTGTCAGATCTGAACGGTCATTGGCACCTTTTTTTTACTTTATTCAGCGTTACGCAATAAAAGTATGTGGTACCAGTTATGTGTATAGGTGCGTGCTTATATGTAAATATACTTACACGTGTATATAGACTTACATAGTTGACTTAGATACCGCTGTGTCTTTTCGTATTATGGCAGTTATTCTTTATGTGGGCGGAAGTATCTAGAATGATAACTGCTCTTGTAGTGGTATATTAAAAGACATGAACACTGAATAGACAAGTTTTGTTGCCCATAGCGATGCCTATCTTTATCGTGCTTTAATTTATACCTATGTCGTTTATACGTAGGAGATTCTATATAAGCACTCGACTTTTTATGACACAATATCTGAGTTACATCCGCCAGTTTTGCCCATTTTTTTTTCCGTTTTAATTTGCCGCAGTTATCTATTACATATAAACGTTTTTTGATGGTTTAATAACAGTAAAGTCGCTACCTAATAATGTTCCATCTGGTGTGTTAATGACTTGTTTTATTCTTTTTTTATTGATTTTATTAATTATTTTTTGCCATTTATGGAATTTATTTCGCAAATAAAATTCGTATTATTAAACAATAAAGGGAAGTTCAAACTGCACTGAACTTCTACGTTCATTAAATTTTAGTGCAAAACATTTTTAAAAATTAAAAGCATTTCAATGAATTAAAATAAGAATAAATCCAAAATGCGTAAATTTGGAAATAATTTAATCCTTAGTGACTTTGCTGTTAATATTAATTAACCCTTTTATGTTTTGTGTTGTTTATTATTGCTTTTTTTATTTCCGATGCTGTTGGTTTCCTAGGTGACGGCTTGGTTTGGGGTAGGTATCCTTTGTTATGTTGATGGCTTTGTTTAGCGCATGCAAAGAATTATTTATAGACTGCATCATCATCAGTATTTTCCTATTAATTTATTTTTTCGACAACGAAATAATATGTTTGGCGTTTATTTATTAAAAATTACGAACTTACGCCTTACTTACTTTAATAAAAAACATGCTTCAAATAAATAACCATATTTGCATTTTAATATTTGCGTAGATTGTTAATTTTTTAAGTAAACTGTCGTAAATCTATACTCATATCAGTGTTTTTGATACTTACAGTGCATTCTTGTATGTCGGCAAATATTAGTTTGCAAATTTTGCGTAATTGTATTCATTCATGCATTTGTCATAAATTGTTTTTTTGCAAAATAAAACTTGTCAGACAAGCGCTAATTGTTTAAAAGCCTCTACCTTAATTAACGACACATTGGATAGTGCAATAACCCATTCTGATTAAATTAATTAAATATTTTATTACTTTTTAGTCATTCAACTTCTTTATTAGGTGCAGTTCCTTTTACTTTCTGTGATATTCTCAATGTAAATTGACTTAAAAATATACACGTTTTAATGAGCACTTTCGACTTTTACTTTATCAACGCGTAATTTAACCATCACAATAGCAAAAAAAAGAACTTTAATCACAAATATTTTTTTATTAGTTCCATTGCAATTATTTTAAGGGGTGGAACATTTAAGTGACAAATACAAATAGAAAATCCTTAAATACTTCCTGTGTATTTAAGAATGAATAATTTGCATGGGATCAATTATTAATTTGTGATCAAAGTTTTTTCCGTTATTATAATTGTAAAGCTTCCATAATATTTCGATAATAAAAGTTGCTTTTTATATTCTAGAAAATAATCCTTATCTGTGTCCTGAACTATTTACAACAAGGAATTTAAACACATTCTTTGA